AAACAGATGTAGGTCCCCACACTATGTAATGCTAGGCCACACACACACACACACACACAAGTGGTCATTGCATGGCTCCTTTTAGGCGGCATCACGTCTACTGCAACGAATTACAGTATTTTCATGCAGCAGCACGTGCAAATAATGTAGCTTCATCGTGCTCATTGCACAATTCTATTCAAGTATTCTCTTTGCCAAGTAAATATTTCTCTGAGTTAGCACTTGGATGTTATGAAAAAACATGCAGAAACACACAGAGACTGACCTGTGAGGTCAAAGGTCGGCCAGGAGCCCAGTTCACAGGCTCGGCAGGTGTACTCGTCGAACACAAACTCATTTTCTTTACAGGGAGTGCACGTCCAGCAGCAGCTCACCTCCCCTTTACGGATCACCTGGAGGGGACAGATGCACAATGTATTCAGTGTACATGCGGGGGAACCCTTGTGCACAGCCACTGTATTACATGGAGTCTTTTATTATTCATTATGACGATTTCATTTAATGTAATCTTAATTCATTTGAAATAGGTAGTAAAATATATGTGTAATCTATTCCAACAAAGACAATTTATTGCATTATGGTAAAGCTCCATGGCAGAGTGCTGGATTCACAGTATTGCCTGCAGTTACCCTTAGCAAAGTTTGCGCTTTCTTACCTTTATCTGTGCTTTGTCACAGGGTTCACTGCAGACTGACTTGATGATGCCTTCCTTGTTGGGCCAGATTTCATCATCATCTATCTTCAAGCCTCTGTTGTCCCAACTGCCAACATTTAATATAGTCATAGTAGTCCTTCCCCATCTTCTTGAAGTTCATTATTTCGTACCTGTGGATGGAAAGTTTCACATACAGGTTTCATTCAACACATTAACACCCACATGTCGTGTCATACCCAGCAAGCCAAAAGGCCCGACACAAAATAATTCAATGGGATTAACCGCGTACCTGCCAGGCGAGTCTCCATTCTTATCAAATAAGATTCCCTCTCCTGACACTCCGGTGAAGTTGGTTTTCATCAAGAAGTCTAGCAGCATAGAACCATCTATAGGTCGCATGGCATCACACAGGCCCTTAAAATACACAAGCAATCGTGTCATATCCAACAAAAATGACCCACAGCTTAACAAACGTCGTTCATGGAATAGATGGATTTGTGTGTGCACAGAAGCAATGTTGATCAATGGACATTCCCGTTGATTTAATTGACATTTTAAGAACCGAATGGAAAAGCATATTAACAGTAAAATATTACTAAAAACATGATTATTGGCCAGTTGGATTAAGACATTAACATAATGATACATTTGAGTCAATACAAAGACTTGCATAGAAGGTGAATCCTCCCATGGAGTGTTATGAAAATGGAAAAGTATAGAGTAGCAGGGTTTCTTCCATGACTGTCACATTCAGGCTAATAAGTGCCAAGCTGGATCATGTCATTTAGTCAAAACTTAGTCTGAAATATTACATTTCAATAACCATGTCAGCAAGGAAAAAATCTCAAGTAGTTCCAGAAAGGTTAGTCTATCATGGCCGAATTCAAGGATAAGCAGCACTGATGTATTTTTTCTTTGTTAGCTACAATTGTCTAAAATGCTAGCTGTATCTAAAAATACAGTATAGTTATGTGATCATCCAGGTTCCTATCTTACATTTTCCAGGTTGTGTGTACATGTATGGAGTCTGACAATTGGTCAAAAATGGCTGATGTGTGTAATAATGCAGCAACACCCAGCTAGTTCATTTCTCTCCCCCCCACCATTGTCCATTTCACCCCTTCCTCTCCCTTCTTTGTTTCCTTGCTTTGTCCTAGTCTGTCCCCCCACTCATCCATCAGAGCAGTACCTACCTGATAGCCTGGGCAGAGTGCCCGTTGCATGTTATGCAGGCCATATGCAATTGAGTAGATGGCATTTATGACAAACCCCCATCTTGGCTGTCCTGTGCATACTGTGCCGAAGCGACTCTCGCTCTGCCAACACAAATGGGAGGGGAGAGGGGAGGTGGTGGGTGAGGAAGGATGGATAAAAGAAGCAGGTATATCAGAGAAACCCTTAATTTCCCTTCTAGTTAAATGAAAATCAGTGTGCTTTTTTTCCCCTCCTGACATCAAAGACCACTCTCATTCCTTTCTCATCGGACACCTCCCACCTCCACATCTCATTTCTGCCTGCCTCTTTCTGTGTCCTGTTCATTTGTATTTCACGTCCCGTTTCATTAGAATACATGAGACATGACTTCCTTTGATGCAGCTCTCACACGCAGTTTTGCCTATGAATGGAGGGGATTGAAAGGGAGAGAGAAAGATGGGGGGGGTGACGAATACAAAGACATAAAGAGAGGGTGCACTCAGCCACAAGGGATATCTCCAGATAAACCTGAAAGCTGTGTTTTTAACCATAAGGTGTGTGTGCGTTCAGCAGGTCTGTTCTAATGTTTTTTGCATTAATAGTGGCCATTATGAAAGCCTATAAAAATGCAGATTGTTAATGTAGCCTGTTATGTTGATGCAGCCTCTCTCCCTCTGTATCACAGATGGCTGTGGTCAACAGAAGTACAGTACAGCTGTAACTCAGAAACCCTTTGTCCACTGTCCTTGTTTGTGTTTTGCGTCTGTACTCACTGCCACAGGTTGCGGTTGAATTTGTTGTTCTCCTGCGGGTGACCTTTAAGTCGACAGTGGAAACGATGCTGCCAGAACTCTGGAAACCAGGGGTTTCTGGGGTTGTTTTCAGGACGAAGTTTAAGGTAGTAATCATCAAACCATTTTCACATCAGCCGACTGGAGCTTGATGGTAATGCCACCTGCTGCTTCCCTAACAAAACCATCTGTTACATCATACCGGTCGGCCCCATCCATCCACTGCAAGAAACACAAGGAGAGACAAAGCAGAAACGTTAACTCCATCGATTTAGCGTGAACGAAAAAAAAACCCTGCTCAATATCAACATTTGCATAATTTCCCCGAATATGTAGTGAAATCATTTGATCATTCCAAAGTATTCATAGACTGCACAAGACATTTAGAGAACTCATTCGGGCATTTGATGCTTTTCAGATGTCATTCCATCAAGATGGAGGTGGGAATAGGTGGGAATTGTCTTTGTGATTTGTTTAGTCTATTGTAACTGAAGGTTGAAGGTTGAATAATGAGGGGTGACTCAATGGAAGTTTTTACTGCTTCGGTAAAATCCTGCCAGAAGCAAACGCTTACACCTTATCTGATCTCCATTAATGCTTTCAGAGTCCCTGTTTGTTTGAGAGAGCCTCTATTATAAATAGGAAGCCTCTGGCAGGTGTTTTGTCTGTGGACTTTTCATAGTGCCAGCACCTATAGGATTTAACACTAGTGGTTTAATTAAGAAAACTGATTAGCTGCTTCTATAGTACTTGAAAATTATAATGTAGTAGTGAAGATGAGTGGGTGGGTTTGCCTCTTGAGCCCATTGCTGAAATGTCTCTTAAGAGCTGGACTTAGAGTACACAACTATGCAGGTGTGTGTGTGTGTGTGTGTGTGTGTGTGTGTGTGTGTGTGTGTGTGGTGTGGTGTGTGGTGGGTGAACAGCTGACATGCCTCTTTATTGAGGGGAAATTCCATTTTAAGGTTAACAGAGGCAGCACAAGGGCAACAATAGGGCACTATGAACAAAGAAAGCCTAGGTCGCTGACACACACACACACACACACACACACACACACACACACACACACCACACACACACACACACACACACACACACACACACACACACACACACATCACACACACACACACACACACACACCACACACACACACACACACACACAACACCACACACACACACAACACACCACACACACACACACACACACACACACACACACAACACACACCCACACACACACACACACACACACACCCACACACACACAACACACACACACACCACACACAACACACTGCGAGTGCTCTAGTTTCCAGGGAAAGAATAAACAAAATGAATGAGGAACAGAAAGGACAGGGGAAGAGATGTGAGAGAGGACAGAAGCAGAGATACCTAATCAGGGAGAAATCCAATTGAAAGGAGACACAGACCAGGATGATTAGCTGGGAGGGACATGGGGAGGGAGGCTCTTACATCATTATGAGCAAAGTCCAAAAGTAGTCATATTGCTGACAAATAGGCACCAAACATACGCATAGACACCAGCCTGGGTGCTGAGATGATCTAGGTCAAATGGAGTATTTTGGCTGCAGCTCAGCAGCCGTTGCCCGTCAGACACCAGAGCAACGAATATAACTACCTCACAAAACACCACACTGACAAACTGTGGAGATGTATCGCTGTAGTTTGCATTTTTTTTGGGGGAGGGAAATTTGGGTTTACTGCTCCTCAAGGAAGCACAGATGGAAGAGTGTGTGTGTGTGTGTGGTTGTGTGGTGTGTGTGTGTGTGTGTGTGTGTGGTGTGTGTGTGTGTGTGTGTGTGTGTGTGTGTGTTGTGTGAGGGATAGATAAAGAGAGGATGGGAAAGGAAAGAGCCACAAAGTGGGATGTGAGTGACAAATCTTCTGTCCTCCTTTCAAATATACTGCCAACTTTGCCTCTGCAAGCAGGACCAATGATACAAAGCTCTTCTAGATAGAAGTCTTTCTTTCTTTCCTTCGTTCCTTCTGTCTCTCTTTCTCTGAGCCCTCCAGAGAACATAAACTAGTTTCCTCCTGCAGCAGGACTTCCAGCCGTAGCCTGATGTAGACCGAACATGTTTTTGTGTTATTGTGTGTGTGTGTGTGTGTGTGTGAACAGCTTTCAATTTGTGTCTCTCTACCTTTTTATTTAATGTCGCTCTTCTCGTCACCCTCTGCCTCTAAGCAGTTGTCATAAATCATGGTGGAAGCATTTCTAGATGGCTATCCATACAGGATAGATAACGCCTGTATGAAATGTCGGTGTGATGGTGTGGTTTGTCACATGTGTTAAGTGGTTACGCGGATTGGGATTTTGCAGTGGTTCTGTCGACAAAGCTTGTTGCCACAGATACGTGAGAAAACGCTACTTTATTGGACACAGACATATTAAGAAATGACTTCAGTTATTTATTTAGTTAAAAAAAGTATAAGTTATAAGTGGTCAAAATATAATTCTAAAAGGAAAAATGTTTGTGAAATCCTCTAATATATGTTTTTCATGATCTATTACTGTCTCTGTGAGCGTTTCAAAATGAACTGAATCACTTGTTGATTGGCTTGATGATAACTCCACACATTTACAACCAGGACCCATTTCGATGAGTCATAATTAGACATTAGGGATTTTTCATGTGAAGAGGACGCAAGCTAAAAAGGTTTGGGGTTGGCCCTTTGGCTGTAGCATTAATAAGTATCTTCAATAACAGTTTGTGAATTTGGCTCGTTTGTCTTTCATTAACCTGTTTGAATTATTAGCACATCCAGGGTTTCCTATAATTACGTCAATGTGTCACAGAAGTCTTCAATGTTCAGACAAATTGAAGGACCTCCAGTCTGTTTGAGAAAATTAAAAGGCAGGCTCTATAAGAATAATTTAGATTGTTAACTTTTCAACCAGAGTTATGACCAGAGAGATTTTAAATATGTTGGACTGGTAATAACTGGATAACAGAAAGCCATGAGAATAAAGCCATCTTCATGAAACATAAATGTTGTAGATTAGAAAAAAAATCCATAGGGCTTGAAATAGTTCTGACTTGTTTTAAACTTTTAGCGATACCTATTGCTGCTCAAACCATTGACCGTTGTTCAGGTCTGGTGTCATGCAGAGGACGCGTCCCATGCCAGAGCGACAAAGTGCTATCACTACATGTCCTCATAATGGATCAATAGGTTTAGCTCCCCTGAGGGAACAACAACCGCATTTGATGTCTTTACTTGAGTAGGCTATTTGCTTCTGTGTTAACAAAGTGTTGTATTGACGGAGAGACACAGCGCGGTGGAAGAGTGAGAAACACAGTAGTGAGAGAAAAATGAAGACGTACAATCAAAGAGATTGATGAGTGAGGCAGTGAAAACGGATCCAAATTGAACAATCAATCATTAATCAGCACTTCCTGTTGATAGATTTCTTATTCTGTCTTACAGTTTTCTCTCCACATCCGTCTCTTTTCAACCTCTCATTAACACATTCATGTCTCCCTTGAGCCCCTTCGCTCTTTTTTATACATCCATTCCTCAACTCTGACATTCCACTGCATCCATCGACACAATATATTTATTCTCATTTCTTACTGTTTGTTTTCATGTTTGTTCCTTTGCAGACATTCACCATACACAAATCTATGATAATCCAAATACATGCACCAGTGTGTTTATCTCTCTGTTGTTGCATTTATATTTTGTTGTTATGATTTTGGAGCATTTTACTTTCATTTTACCTATAATTATTAGCTTTTCACCTGTTTGGCCATTTTCCCAGCAGATCACACATGAAACTCATCAAAGCAGAACGACAAGTGTGACATGTGAGCAACAAACACACACACAAAAACACCTGCAATAATCATCACCTGGAAGTCTAAATATATTTCTAGGAAAGTTGTCACTAATTCAATGAGCAAATGTGACCTGGAATATATTCATATCTTACTGTCTGACTAAATGGCCTTCACTCCACTAAAAGATCCTGTCTGGTCAATATAAGTATTTAATAAATCTTACTACCTAATGTTGCGTAAGCTCCCAGTACAAATCACGGACATCTCTGTTCCTCTGTCTAACACAAATAGAAAATCAGATTTGTATCACTTCACAATCAGCACTGTAACTCCCACAACATGATGGACCAACACAAATAAACATCCACTTTCTTTTGTAAACCACATCATTATTTTATAATTGAAAAATGTTTATTGTTTGGTAACATGAAAATCAAAAACTGTTCTCATGATCTCAGATTAGTTTCCTGGGGCGTAATTAATGTGAGATTTAAAAATGAGATGAACTCTGTTTTTATTGAATACTCATTGCTGAATGTCCTGGAATACGCTGGAAAAAAAGCAGGGATCACTGATACAGGAAAATGTTTCTATTTGAACACCATGGAAATGCTATGCAATGGTGTAGTGTTCTCACGTTTGGTTGTCATTTGTCATAGTAGGCGGGTGAGACACAGTAGGGGTTGAATGTTACATCTTTCAAAAACTAAATCTTGTTCTCGAGGATGGAACACAATGCTTTAGGTCTTTATTTCTGTAATTGCTACCACAACATTATTTTACAGCAAGTAAAGTGTTTCAAACTAAAACCCTTTAGTATGAAATCCTAATGCCTTGATCATGGAACACTTTATTTAAAATTTGTTACGTTCCAGGCTCCTTCATGATCTATGTTGACTTTAAAGAAAATATATACTTTAACTTGTTTTTTCCCATTGTCAGTGTACTTATTTGTTTGAACCTATATGATTTTATTTATGTTTATCTACTTGTGCTGCTGTTAGTTTACCTGCTGAAGGACAAATGAAGGATTTTCTAAATTGCTGAAGTATGGAAAAAACTGGTAAGCAGTCTTTCAGCGAATCCCAAAACTATGATTTAAGTAGTTAACCTAAATGCAATAACCTGCTCTTTCGAGGATATTAGTATCCTCTTTGGAGACTGGACTGTTCAATTCCACAAGCGTCAGTAAATCCTGGTGGGCAGATTTACAAAGGGATGAGAGGGGCTAATGTGATTGGCAGTGATTGACACAAGCCCAAAACGCAGTCACTGATAAAGTATGACAAATTAATTCCTCCCACCCGATTTTTGAAGCCATGTTCCTCCAACCACAACATTATCAAGTTCCTCTGTATAACTAGAAAGTGCATCAAAGATACACACAGGTGTTCACTGATCGGACATTTAT